TGACACTAAATATGTAAAAGGCCAAATATATAAAAATATATAAAAGGCCAATTTCTGGTAAAGCACAGATTTTTCACACAATTTCCTCAGCAAAATGTGTCCTTCACACAAACAAGGCTTTGCATACTAACTTTAACATAGTAAATTTTGAATGAACATTGATTAATTTATGGAATGTAGGCTTTTGGCACTTAATGACTTAAACATTAGATTTTGATCAAATCTCTACAATATACAATAAAGCAATTTAGAGGAAGTAGTTTGAATAATTTCCATAAAAGTTTCCAAAAGTTCTCCCAATATATATAAAAATTTTGCTCTAAAATCCTTAATAATCATAATCATATCAAATATTTATGCTTATAAAAGAGGTGATCTTTTGTGATTTATTTCATTCATGATTACTGTAACTTCTTCACCAATAAATATCTGAAGAAGACCTTTTTCACATGCAGAATGACTTTATAAATATTACATTTTTACTCTATAAGCATCTATAGGAAATACATCAAATAAAGTTTATCGATCACACAAGAAAATGATGGAAATAGATTCAATTGTAGTGTTAGAATTTCAATTGTGGCCTTTTAACAAGTTGAAGAAAGAATCTTAATATATACTTATGTAAGGAAACTATTATTTTATTAAATTTTCTATAAATGAGACACATTTGTATTTGGACCCTATCCACAGGCTATGAAATCTTCAGGTTAAATTCTAACTCTCCCAGAATCTCTTGGGGAAAAAAAAAAATTGTTCCATGTTTGGAAACTGTCCCTCATGCCTCAGAGTGACTTCACTCTTGAGGCCTAATTTAACACAAATGGTAGAGGCATAATCAACATTTTTTTGGAGTCTATGTTACAACTTGCTTTTCCTTGAGTTGTGATTATTTTAATACCAGGGGAATTGTTCATTTGGTCTTGAAATTTGATATTTGTTTATTCAGTGACAAGGTCAAATGCTGCCTTTTTAATTTGCAGATTTTTTTCTGATTTCTTACATGAAGAACATCTTGCTCTTGCTTTCGTTGTCACTATGATATCCTAAAGATTAAGCGAAATGTTTTTGACCAACAATTGATAAAGCACAAGGAATGTTTTGAGTGAACGGACTGCTGCTACCATCTGTACTGTCTCAAACAGTTCTTCGGTCTGTTCATTATTTACAGAAAGAAAGATAAAAACCAGAATGTTTAAAATGAAAAAAATGATTGAGATGTTGAAAAGGACATAGGTCAATTTTTATATTCATTCATCACTATGGAGAATAAAAGTTTACATTTATGTAGCCATTATAAATTTCTCCTTGGTATATCAAAATCTGTAAAATGTACATGCTACCTAGCATTTCCATATACAAGCTTCCTACATGTGAGCATGTGTAAGCTTTAGAAAATTTGTACATTAAAAAGTTCATAACAGTCTTTAATATTAGCAAAATGGAATGTTAACAAAGCTTGTAATGATAGTCATTCAATGAAACATGATAAACTATTAGAAATTAACAAACTGTACTTATAAACAAGATCCTAAATGAATCTCACACACTGACACACAAAAATTCTAAGTAAAATGAATGAAATCCAAAGAGTACATGATACATGATCACAATTATATAAAACTGAAAACCAGATGCAATATGTATGTTATCTATACTTAGAAGTTGATAAGTTGGTAAATAATAATTGGAAAGGAACATGTTGGTGCATGAAGGGTGATTTGGTTTCTTGACTGAATGCTGATTTCCAGTCATGCTCAGTTATGTTAACTTATCAAACTACACCTTCAATTTCTGTGTACCTTAGTTTGTGTGCTGTACATTAGTAAAAAATTTTGCATAGAAGAGTCATTGAAATGAGTCTCACTGCAATGAATCATATACATAATACTAAAATTATATACAATTATTAGTAATTAAGTAAAGTATATATAACACAATTATTTGTAAATAGCTAAAGTATATGTGTGGTTCTGAGTACAAAAATACTCCACAGCCTAACAAAGCTTTATTCAATAATTTTGTTTCTAGAGAAGAAAATACTTTGTAATTTAAGTCAGTCATGAATATCATATCATCTTCTATTAGTAAATAATACAAGGTAACCATTGTAATTAATTGATGTGCACATCTAATTGTATTGTTATAATAAATATTATATTTGGGCCATAAATTATTGCCTTCACAATTATTGTTATGGTTTAGGGGTGTGAACACATAAGGCCCTGGGTTTGATCCCCAACACTGCAATATTTGTAATTATTGCTTGAATAAAAGGAGTTATTGGAGATAAAAACCTTTTTTTTAAACTGAATGACATACTTCTCTATAATGAATATCTACTAAGTATCATATTTATATGACTTACCAAAATTGATCCTTTTTATACATATTTTTCAAATTCGCATGAGTAAAACAAAAATGAGTGTAGGGTTACTTTCCACTATGAACAAGAGTAACTGATTTACAACTATTTATTGCATGAGAAAATCAACTGCTTTCCTTCAAAGACATACACGGAGACCAAGAAGTGCTCATACTTGTACACTCAGATTACACATCCATCACTAAAGAGGTATAAACAGATACAAAACTGAAAATATCTAGGCATAAAGCAAAATAATCAACATGGAATATGTGATGGTGAATACGAAAATTACATCATCCTAACAAAATACAAGAGGAAAAATTCTCTTGTGGTAGAGACTAGAGATTTTGATCAGTGCTTTTCATGTCATAGATAGTCATCGATTCCTTAGTCCAACATATATCAAATGCAAGCTGGCAAATTTAAAATAGAGTTATAATTCATTCGCAGTCTCACAGTCTCATGGACATGGAAATAAATAACTAAATGCAGTGGGATAATAGCATAGGGCATGTGGGAAGATCCACAGGAACACAGATGAGAGAGTAATGGTGGGTGCAGACCAAAGCCCAGCTGGGGGTCCTGAGTCCTTCTCTGACTTGGTCAGTGTAATTGGACTCATGTTAGGCATTTAAAGGAAAACAAGCTACATACTTAGGGAAGAACTTTTCTTTTAGACAACCTTCGTATTTTAGCTACCTTTCATGGAATATCCAGTAGATATAATAATGACTAAATCCTTAAAGATCATAAAATATTTAGTAAGAATGACATTCCACCAAGTCTGCTAGGCCTAACGGTACTCAAATTACAAAAGAGTGTTCTTGTCTATGCTACAACCTTACTGCTTCAAATATCAGATTAACAGACTTGGTGAAGTTATGGCTTGTGCTTCAAAATGATTCAATCATTTCACATTTCAAAAAATATTTGCTTTTTGAAATTCATTTGGAAGTTATAGTCTAAAACAAACAAGAGTGGAGTTTACAAATTTTAGGCAAATAAATGAGGATTTCTAATAAAAATTTCAATTAAGATTCATCCCTTGTATGTGTGTGTTTGCACGTGTATGTGAGTGTGTAATTTTTCAGGCACACCCCATCCTTTCAACAAATTTTGATTAACTGACAGAATGTTTTTCAGTCATTTGTTTCCAAATTCCAAGCCAGGATAAAGTATCCTGGTTTCTGAGATATACATCAGGGATCAGTCCTCTGTCTTTATAAATTACAATTCATTGATTGTCTTTTCTGTTTCTCATTCCATCGAAAGTACCGTATCTAGTTGTGCCCTATCTGACTAGTGTCTGTCAACAAAGGGAACTGTTAGTACAACTGGAATGAGAAACTACAGAACACTCATGTGCCCTTGAAACAAGATTTCAAGAGTCTCTATTTCATGAGTTTTTATTCCTGGCCTTCTTACTCTCTGATCTCTACAACTCTTTATTTTTTCCTCAGAATATTGAGAGACACAGAGAACACCATTTCAAGAAAGGAGAATTTAGGCATGGTCCATGTTTGCACATAGCTTTGATGTGATTGTCTACGATTCCGGAGGCAAACACAAGAACACTGAATTGCACACAAAGTCTGTATCTCATCATCTGTGGCTACAGATGGAAAACAGCCTGCACAAACAGGAGGTGTCGTTAACCAGGTGGATTTCCAGTTTCAATATGTTTGAATAAATTTGGGGGTAACACAGAGACATTAGCAACTGGGCAATGCTGAGAAAGCTGAAGAGGTGTCAGAAGGGACTCTCCATCCCAGTGCTAAGCATTTTTCAAAAAAATCCACAAGTTATTTGAAAATTTTCCTTATATTTGAGCCACCTGTTTGTGCATCTAGCCTATTTTCTCATTTACCACCATAGCAGCATAGCCTTATTTTATCCTGCTGCCAACTTCCCCTCCTCTCTCTGAGTTTGGCATTACCTGTGACATGACCTGTAATTTAGAGAAACAAAATCCAAATTAGCTGGATGCTCTTAACCTTTAGAGAATTTAGAATTGGGCAACATTACTATTTATAGTATGTGTATTCTTATAACTAATTTCCCTATGCTTTCTTAAAAAAAAAATCTGATCCTTGCATATTAAAGGCCACGATCAGCAACTGAGGATAGATTTTCCTGTGATTGTCCTCTCCTGTCCCACTGTTTCTTACATAAGTGACCATAGTGGCTTTCCATGCTTTTTGATAATGAAGCTGCACCACTGTGGCCCAGGATGGACTGTGGCCCAGGATGGACTGTGGCTGCTCAGCACTCCTAGCTGCATTCCCATTTTTGAGGTTTTCCTGTTCTTCTCAGAGCCCCCAACATTCACGAGAATGAGCAGTTTCAACTTTCACCTTCAGGACCACTTCCCTTCTAAGTGACTCATTTGGCAGGAAAGGGAAACCTGTGTTGGGGTGTGGAGTTTTCCCCTCAGATTAACACATTTCTGGCTGCTGGCAAAATTAGGGGAAAAAAAAAAAAAACAGCTTCAAGGATAAAATGGCTTTATTTTATTTCATGCCACCAGGAGGGAAAATTTTTAACATCGACACCCAGCCAGCACTCCCCTTTAGGCTTCAGAAGGCACTCCCCCCGCAACACACTCCCTTATATAATACACATAGCACTTTACCTCTGGAAATTATTTCTGACGATGACCCGGATATCAAAATTAGGAAACAGCCAGAAAGCATTTCCTCTCTTTTATGTCTTGTGTCAGTTGCCCTCTCTGAGTCTTTTCATTTATCCTGGCAGAGGTTTGTCTCTTTGCCTTTAAAAGTTAAATCCACCTTCATCACACAATGTAGAAAGAAGTGAAATTAAACTGCAGTGTGTTCCAGAGGAGAAAATCTACTTTATTCATCTCTCAGCCCTACTTTAACTTACACTGACCTAATTACAGCCCACACCAGGAGAGGCCGAGTAGCCGAAGGAGCGCTTCTGCCACCTAGTGGGCAGTGTCCTGAACTGTGTATTGAGCCCTCTACGTTTTTGCTTTATTTCTGAAATGTCTGGCACACCATTGCAAATGACCTTCCCTAGTCTCTGCATGAATACTAAGGATATGCATCACACACTGTTCTCCTCCTTCGGATATTTCAAATATAATGTTCTCCTAAAGAACTCTATTTACAGAAGGTTGAACTGATGGTTCTTAGGATGAACTATAGCTTGAAAACTAATTCATTAGGAATGTACGATGGCTTATGAAAGTTAAATTGAAAATGATACTACATATATTAATACCATTTAAAGAAGTATTTTAAATACCATGCATTGAATTTAATATTTAAGGATGTCAGCACTCTCCCCAATAAATCAATTACCCTTCCTAGTAGCAACCGCATGATTTAGCTAGCTGAATGATTTCTTCAGGGCAGCTTCAGGTCTGTTTATTTGTTTGCTTTGGGGAGTGGTAGTGGACATTTAAGAATGCTTCGTTCTCTTTTTCTGGCTTCATTAACGAGTTATTGATCAGTAACTTGAAAGAAAAACTTGGATGAAAAATGTAGTCAGTCCTGAATCACCAATGCTAATTAAAACCAGGCAAAGAAAGGAAAATGAAAGGCACTTACAATGCCCAAATATCAGGACAGCCGATCTCTTCTTTCACCAAAGCATGAAGGCAGCAGCCATGAGCTGCTCAGCCTGGCATTCCTGCCTGTGTCCTCGAGCAAAAAGAAACCATCCCGTGAAGCATCCCTGTAGATAAAAAGCAAAGAAATCTGCTGTGTATAATGGGCAATCAATTCTGGAATCATGAAGGTAAGTAATGTGTAAAGTCATATTGGCACCCATTGTAAAAAAGCATTCAAAGTGATGTGATAATTTTCAGGACTCTCGTATATTAGGACACTCTTCAATGTCATGGCTTCAAATTGCTTATCATATTAAAGCTAAAAATAAAATTAATGAAGAATTTTTGTCATTATGCCTAAGGACTCCTTAAGTATCTACTGTTTTCAAGATTTTGTTTAGAGTTCTGATTAGACAAGGAAATGTCCATATGATTTCTGGCTGTAAAAACCTTTTTCATTTTTTAAACATTTAGAATGTATTCAAAATGATATGGCTATTTATTCATCAAATATTAATTGGAGAGTGCAACGTGAATTCTGTAGTAGACACAAGGGAAAACCAATGTGGCTGGGCTCTGACGCTGGTCAATTGATTTTTCCTCAAGTCTCTGCACCTTGTAGACTAAAATAAGAAATTATGTGTAAGTATTGCACAGTCTTTAAAAACCAACCCATTCTTCAATTCCACTGCCCTATCTTATTTCACACTCTTATGGTTACTCCAGATAATTTCAATGACTTCCTTAGCAGGTCAATGTATTCTCAGTTTGTGTCTGCTACAATTCAGATTCATTCTTTCCACTTTTGTCAAAATCATGTTGACCAATTGATCAATAAATAAAACAAGCAAACTCAGAACCTTCCAAAATTTGGCAAACAGGACTGATGTACATCACAGTTTTCTTCCTACAGCCATTTTGATACCAATTCTTACACATAAGTTGCTTCCTCAGAGAAGCATCTCATAAGTCTTATCTCAAAAGTGAATTATTTTCTTATAATTTTCATAGAATGCTATTGTACCATACTTGAACAAGATAGAAAGCCCTAAGTGAAATCTCTCTTTATGTGTGTTTTATATTCAAAAGAGCAGAGACCATCTTTTGCTAAACATTACCACCTGTAGTGCAAAATTCAAGTAAAATGCTATGAAATCCAGGTAGATAAAATACTAGTGCTAGTTCCAAAGTCATTTCTACCACACTCTATTCTAATCTTTCAGCTGGGAACATCAGCATCGCTGAAAGGCTGAAAAAGAGAGAGAGATTATTGGAAGCAGAGGTCAGCAAGGACCAGGGAAATGAGGGCAGGATTTTTCCAGATATCATGGTCAGAAGAGGGTGTTTCCTGCAGAAAAGAGAAAGAGGAAGTTAAGGAAGAGAGAGGGAAGCAGAGTTAAAAGTGGGAATGGAGATTAACAGTGAGAATGGAGTAGTAACAGAGAGGAAAGGTATCAAAAAGAAAGAAAACAATGTATACTTTTATCAAAACAGCATACTCACTGGGCATTGTACTGATCACACCACACATTTGTAGGGTTACCCCTCAAAAATTCAAGTAACTATTATGCCCATGTTTCATATCAACACTCTGAGGTTTAGCAGGGCTCATAGCACACAAATAGCTGACCTGCCATTAAATCCCTTGCCACCCAAAATACTTCTTATCATTAGCAGTCCTGGTTCTAATGGTCAAAAAACTGACGGTGTAGTAGGGTGACATCAAGGGAAAAATGTTCCTCTATGACATTTGCTCCTTTCTATCTGAGACTCTTAAATCAGTTATTGGAAGAAGATGATGGTAAGTAGTATGGTTTCCAGCAAAAGAGGCAAAACCAGAAATATTTCATGTGAGATGAGAAAGTCCTCATCTTTCCTTTCAATTTAGATGCATTCTACACCATCAAGCAATGGATCCAGTAGAATGGATAAATATTCATAATCAACATTTATCATAATTTGCTTTCAAATGTTACTAATTTCTTTTATTCAAAAGTATTTCCCAAGTGCCTACCATGGGCCAATTCCTGTTTTAGTACTGGTTAACAAGGGGAAATCATAAAGTTTGTGTACGATCACTTTTTAGGGGAGGGAAAGTCAAGAAATAGAAAAACAAAGTAAAATATAAAGGTGTTCTTTGATGACTTCTGTAAAAATATAAAGCAAGGAAGAAGAAGGCTATATTATGCTATTTTTTTACTTTAATTTCTATTTTTTTAAATTTTATTGATTGCCACATAATATTTGTACCTATTTATAAGGTACAATGTGATCCTTTGATTTATTTACATATGGGACATAATAACTTAATATACATCCATCACCTTCAGCTTTTATCTTTTCTTTATAATTAGTACAAAGTCCTCTCCTCTATTTTTGAGATACATATTATTGTTAGTTGTGTTCTTCCTATGTCATCATGGATCACCAAAACTTATTGCTCCTATCTCACTCATGTGTTGAATGTAAAAGAAGTTAATCTCATAGAAATTGAGAGAAGTCTAACGGTTGGGAGGGGCTGAGGAGTATAGGGGACAGAGAGAAGAGAGAGGTTAGTCAGAGGGATGTGTTATTTTAAGTGCAATTAACACTATGACAATGGAGAGACAAGTGAACCTCTTGGACATCCATCAAAGAGAGGTGTAGGCAGAAGGGACTTTAAGTGCAAAGCACATGGCAGGCAGGTGCAACTGATTTCTTCAAATCCAAGTGCTAAAGTGCTGGAGCATGAAGAGCAAGGAACAGACTCAAGGGAGGAGGTGGAGTTTAAATGGTTTAAAAGGCAAAGAGAGTCCCAGCCATACAAAGTGTTCAGATCAGGAAAGACTTCCAGTAAGTGCAGAAAACATGTGACGTAGCACCTACAATAACTTTAGGACTCCACAAAACTGTTTTAATTTATTTTAAATCAAAAGACAAAAAAATAAAACTTTAAAAGAAAGTAAATGTTTTCATACATACAATTAACATATTTATCTCTATGCCAAATCTTTATGTAGAATAAAGATTTTAATATTTCCTTTATGGAGAAAGGAACTCACGGTGGTGAGATTGTGGTGGATGTTCATGGGTCACAGGATGCCAATGGAGTTGTGATCCAGGCGAGGGGCACATTGTGAGAAGGGAGGCACCTTGGCTTGAGGATTGGAAAGGAAGGGAGGGTGACTCAAAGGAAACTGAACAAGAGAGGTTCTTGGTGCCAATGTAGGGAGCTGCCATTCAGTGACCCTAAGGTTGGCCCTTGCCTGGTGTGTTCCAAAGAGGTTGGGAAGCCAGAGAGACGGGAACACAGTGCAAAAGAGAGAAGGTAGTAAATATTGAGAGAAGAGCATTAACATTCTCTGTATCATATAAAGTTTTGTCAGCTTCTAGAAAAGTATTAAATTGTGTACTTCAGGATAGAGTGACCTCCAGAGTGCAGTTAGCCTGATAAATCAAGACCACTGAGGTTGCTACACGAAAATTTTAAGTTTTATGGACAAAAATTTGGAAAGTAGTGGGGTAAATGCAAGTAAAATATAATGATAACTTGGATCGAGATGGTAGTATGAAAAGTAGTTGGATTATAGCCATATTTGATGGTCCATCAGTATTTCTCAAGAAATGTATTTGCTTTCTAGGAAAAAGATGAAAATAAAAGGTATTTAAAGATCAAGCTTTTTGATCTTTAAAACTAGAAGAAAGGAGTTGTTATTAATGGAAAGGGGGGAGTATATTTGCGGGATGTCTGTTTGAAATGCAAATAGAGATAATGAGTAAGCAGTGAGTGCATCTGAGTCTGTAACATCAGTGGAGAGATCTGGAGACATATTTGGAGTTTTCTGAATAAAAAAATGACAATTCAAGTGAAAACACTATGAGATTATTTAAAAAATTATGCAGATATCAAAGACCAAAGTCTTAAGGACACTCTTAACTCTGGGGTCCATCATTAAGAAATCAAAAGAAGAGGGGAAAACCTGAAAGAGAGACTAAAGGATGTGGCCATGGAAATAGGCAAAAACCAAGAGAGTGATATTCTGGATGCCCAGGGAACGTATGGCAGGAAGGAGGAGCAGTCAGCATGGCAGTGTCGCTCATAAATTATGTGAATGTTGACAGTTAACCACTGGGTTTATGATTACAGTGGGTTCAAGAGAGAGCAGGAAGAGAAGAGGTAAAGAAAGTAAACATATGTAAGCAAACATAACAGTATTAAGCAGTCTATGCATTTATGTTCAAATAATTCCAAACATTTAACACATCAGTCAGGAATACCATGATTTTCAAGATAAAACAA